TAGAAACCTCTGCGCGGGAGTTAGAAACCTCTGCGCGGGGGTTTCTTGCCATGCCACCTTAGAGGGAACAGTGGACCCGGCGTATAACGCGCAGTATCGGCGTATAACACGCAGGCAGGGTTTAACCTTGCAATTTTAGTTTTAAAACTGCGTGTTATACGCCGATAAATACGGTATATTAGGGAAGCTATTCTGGTCTACACACAGCTGAGATTTTTCAGATGCGGCAGGAAGTTCCCCTGTATAAAATGGTACAGATTTGTACTAGCAGACACTGCTAATTTATAGGGGACAAATCAGCAATGGTAGGAAGTAGAACAAGTTCACTCCCAAGAAGACTTTGAGGTGAAATAATCTACCAAACAAATTAGTTTGTCTTCATTTATTGATGTTAGTATTTATCATCCGATATCATAAATAGGAATTGGTTGGTAGCAGCTAAAATGTTTGTTCAGTGTTTTCGTTTGGAGATTAAATGTAGTTTTTATGTTTTCTCTTTAGAGAAGAAGAACTGAGGTATTTAAATTTTATTCAGGACATAACAGATGAGATTCTGAAGCTTGGATTATTTTCCAACAGGTTGGATATATTTAAAGTCCCTACATTTTTTTATTGCAGTGAATCATTGGCTAATGGTAAATAAAGGAAGAACCAGAGATGTGTTTGGGGTTAAAAGTGTGTAAAATTCTGAATAAATGCATTCAGGGGGTGGGGAGGTGTTTACTGTTGACATGAATGGGTAGATGGGAATAAGATGAGAGAGTGAACAAAAAGTGACCAGGTCATTCAGAGACCCAAGAATAAATGAGGGGTAACTAACAACTGTATAGTTGGGGAAAGTCTGTTGGTTTTGAAGGTGTGGCTTAAGCACCAGTCTAATCATGTAGTTGCCCAGCAAAGATATAAATGTTAAGTCTAGAAGCATGGCTGGTTTGATGGTTTCTGATGAAAGATTGGAAGAATCAATAAAATATATAAGGTGATAAAAGGAACTGAAATCTGGACAGGCCATTTGATAGTTTCAAGAGTAGATTTGAGAAAATATGAACATGAAAAAGCAGGAAAAATATGAAAGAAAGTACACAGTGAAAGCAGGGCAGCTGCAGCAGAAGACCAAAGATAAAAGAATTTAATTCTTGAGTGGGATAATTATTTTGTTTATATATTTATTTGTTTCTATTTAAAAATAATAAGTTAACATCCCAGAGTTGAAATGTTTCCTGTGTAAAACTTTTCCAATATTTTGCTTTTTAAAGGGCTTTGGAAAGATTGTTTGAACGTCACATAGAACTAAACAAGAACCATCTAAATAAGGTATGCTGCGTAGATGAGAGATCATTTTAAGAGTACTAAAAATTACTTCTGAAAATGATCAGTGTGTTTGCTGAAGAATATTTGTTTCTGATTATATATATAATCTGAATTTATTTTTGTATAAATGAATAAACAAACAAATCATACTACTCTTAAGAATATTCAACAAGTTTGCTAAAGCCTTCAGGAAATTAAGCATTTCTTTCATATTAGCTCTTATTTCCTGACTATAACCTAATTGATTTCTGAAAATGTTCAATTAATTTCTTGATGAATTCTTAATTTTTCTAATTTTTTTGTTATAAGGCATCTTTATAATTACTGTTGTCTACTCTTTTTGTCCTTTCTTAGACCAAAATGCGCCACCTGCTGGAGATTCTAAAAGTAGACTTGGGTTGCAACAGAGAGGAAAATTCTGCAGGAGTGTCCGATGCATATAGGCATTTACAGAATGAATCAGCAGAGCACCTTCAACTTACCAGTATATCCCAGAGCAAAGAGTCAGAAAGTGAAGAGCTGTTAAATGTAGTGGATTTAAAAACAAGTGATCTCACTGTACACAATGATAAATTCCAGGGAGTGGAAAACCAGGATGTAATTTCTCAGGACATCGAAGAATTACTGAACATTGAGCTGAATCCCCCAGCCATGAAAACTGATGAAACTCCAGATAACACATGTCCATTGCCACCAACGTGTAATTCAACCACATGTGATGCTGACTTTGAAACAAGTGAATGTTTGAGAGAAGTAGATGAACTGAAAGAAAATATGACAGAACCCATCTCTTTGGTCAGGGCCCAGGAGTAAACAACTCGCAGCAAAGCACCAAACGGGGCAGTTCATCTAGTCAGCAGTGCAGAGATCTGAACTTTGAAAATTAAATAAAATGCTAGCAAATCAGATGTAATATTTTTTATTTGGATGCCACTGCAAATGGGCTTGAAATATTAGAAGTCAGACTTTTTTGAATTGGGCACTGGAACATTGTAAGAAACAATAGACAAAATTGTCATGTGTGATGTTATTAACTGCAGAAAAGACTAGGGATATTTTGGGGCATAATGTTTATTCTCAAGGCAGCATATTTATCAAAATACACTTACAATAAATGAATATAAAATTTGCAGGAGTAAAAACTGATTGTAAATAATTAACCCTTCTGAATTCTTTTCCAAAAAGTTATACACTCTGATTGAATCATTACTTATATCTGTGCAGAGATCTGGTGCAGCTTGCTGTTTAGTGAACCAGGATTGTTTTGTCTGATTTTAATGGAGAAGCATCCTCTGCAATGCAGTATTCAAATGAAGGATTCATCCATTCATCTTTTAAAACATGGATCAGTTGACAGGACCTCTGACTTACTAACAATAGATGATCACACAGGCAGTGTAACTAATTGTCTGATGTGTCCTTTCGCTTGCAGTTGGAAGGATAAAATGAATTCACTGGTGTTTGCGTGATAATATTAGTTCTATATCAGGGATGGTTAAATATACTGATCACTCAAGCTTTTTAGACAATAGTCCAAATGCAAGCAGTGTGTTTCATTGCATAATTGGTAACCCCTCTCCAAGTAGCCTGCATAATAAAGTTCCCATTACACAAAATGGGGTGTGAAGACCTTGAGAACATCAGTTGTTAGATTTTAATTTCCACTCACTCTAAGTATCAGGAAGAGAAATTGCACAACCAGACAAAAGCAGAATCATACAAGTGAACCTATGTACACTCATGCAACGCTATGATATATGAATAAAAGGAAAAGGGCTTCTATCACAATAGTGTGATGCTTTCAATAGGCTAATCAATTTGACACTTCCCTATGGATGTTGCTGTATGACATAATGGATGGTAAGGGATCTATTTGAAGGTGAGCTGCAAAGAGTTACATTTTGTTGCTACTTCTCTTAATCTTGTGGGAAAGAACTGTCATAGCAACTATTTTTACTAGAAAGCATCCAGAAATGACACACAGTACTGCCCTTTGTTGAATGAATTATGAAAATACCTACTGATACCACAATAAAAGTTGTTTACCCTCTTTTCAGTCAAAAGCTTTATAGATTTTTTTAATGTAGTCCACAGACTGACAAGCAAAAATCATGATTGAAAAGCAAATGGAAATGATAAAAAAATGGTAATAAGATTTTCTAAAGTTGGTAGATTTCTTACCCAAACTAGCTTAAATGGAAACTTTAGGGGGGAAAATACACTGAAACTTGTCTCTTGGGAAAGGAGCTTAAATGGCCTGTGTCTTTTCTCTTACAGCTTCTGCAGCTGGTTTGAGTGAAAAGAGGTTAAGTCAAGGGTAAGAAAACAATGTGGCCATATTGAACCCACATGGCATTTATGTCAGATTCATATATGAATGTGCTGAGTTGACAAAATTTAATTCTCTAAATTTTATATTTAGAAATCTGCTTTCTGTTTGGAAAGCAGCTATTTTCTCCAATGAACTTTGAAGTGCTAAATTTACTGTAGGAACATATACCCACTTTAGAACTACTAATGATCATCTCAACTGAAGGACTCCAAAAATAGTCATTAACAAATAATCATCTTAACTGAAAAAATCCAAAAATAAGTCATTAACAAGCTGTTTGTCATTTCCATTAAAAAAAAATCCCGTTGCTTTGTTCATTAAATGCAGATACTTTGGAAAATATATAGCACTGTAAATAATACCAGGATGCTATAAGTAAAGATGAGAGGTGTTGGTTTAAATTTGGTGTTTGCCACTCAAAGAGACAGGTAATTTGGGAGCTGCAACTTATTCAAAAATAGAAGGTTGGGGTGCGTTAAGTTATAAATTGGTTTGCTGAGGAGAAATCTCTTTCCTGAATAATACAAAAATGTTGCAGCCATTCCCCTTCATCCTACAAGGTTTACATGCTTATGCGTCTTCCTATCTCAAATGAGGGGAGAACTGCATCAACTCAGCCTCAGAGAGGGAGGGAAGGAGGAGTAAATTTTCAATAAATAAATTTAAAAAAAACATGCGTAGAAATCATCCTGTCCTGGCAAGGATATTTTGAAAATCCCTCTATTTGGGGGGGGGGGGTGTTAGCCACAATTTTAGAAAGCTTATAAACAGGACCAATTGGGAGCAGCAGGTGCTCTTACATCATTAATGTACTCCAAACTCCATCCATCTTGTTTAAATGGTTCTGCTTATTTGCCATTTCTCAAAATAAAAGTTAAAATGAGTGTGCCTGTGGATCAGGATTCTGCTGTGTAAGGTAAGCAAATTCTCTGGTGACAATCTACCCCCTTCCAACCCTCAGGCTGTTATTGCAGGGCAAAGTACTTAGTCCCAACATTTCTCACTCGGTTGACTGCAGGTAGTTGGATTTTGAATAATTAAACTAAACTCCCAGTGTCTACCAATCCTGACTATAGCAGGGCCATCAATTTAGAGATTTCACACAGATTTGGTGGCATTTTCATATTCTGTCTGGATCGCAACCCATGGGCCAGATGTGTCATGCCCTGGCCATACCCACGCCCAATTTAGCAAAGGGGGGGGGGGAGTTGCGATACATCACATGATGTTGCTGTGATGCAAGTTTGACAGCCCTGACCTAAATTGTCTTCAGGGCAACATGATGCTTTATCAAACTCAATTTATTTTTTTAATATGAGATTGTAAGGGTTGGTGGATACCTTGAAGATCATCTAGTCCAGGTGTGTCACATTTGGCCCTGGAGAGCTAGTATGCAGCCCCACAAGACCTCAACCAAAATAAGGAAAAATTGTTATATGCATTATCTATATTATATATTTTATATGCAATCCAAGACAATTCCTCCTCACTCAGTGCAGCTCACGTAAGCTAAAAGGGCAGACATCCCTGATGTAGCCCGGTACATAAATATATTACCACAACATCCAGTAGGAGTACCTTCTGAGGTACCCTATTCCATTGCTAAATCATTACCATTTGGAAATTTTTCCTGATGCCCAGCATTCTCCCTGTCCTTTCAGTCTAAACATACCCAGTGCCTTCAACAGTTTGCCTCATGTTTTCTTCCGGGATATATTCCAGTTTCAATTTTTTCCCAATGTAGTGTCAAGCACTATATATCATTTTCTAATACCTATTTAACTGCTGGTATCACAGGTTTTCCTCTTGGAAGCTCAAAGCAATTTATGTGATTCCTCTCCAAAATAATTCTTGCATGACAACCTTGTGACAAAGAAGCGCAACAAAAAAATAGTGGGCACCCAATTGAAATTCACAGTTCAGGGGGGGGGGGGGCGTCTTGAACCAGATCTCTTTTTATAAATCCCAACAATTTGGCTCCTGCAACACCCATGGATGAACTTGGAAGAGCATCCAATTTATGTTTTTAAAAGTTAGAAATGGTCTTCAACATTCTCACATAGGATTTGTAATATCCGGTAATAACCTTAACCTTGTAAGATATTAACACTTTACTTTTTTTTAATGTGTTTTAATCTCCAAAAACAAACAAGAGAGTTAAAATTTCTCTTTTAAGCTTTGCATCATTGTTAAATCTCCACTGAAAGAAGCTATTTGCAATGTTATTTGCCCAAGCTCTTTATTCTTTGTGTTCAAACATAACACAGTGGAAACAGAACTGATTTTGAGCTCCATACCAGCAGAGTTCCTAGGAAATAATATAATTTTCTTCAGTCTTTGCCAGTGTTAAAGGATATTACTTCTGTAGTATTGATGCCTGCAACTAAATAATTGATCTAAAATGTCATGCAATACACCATTGGGAATTCTTATAATAAACAATTCTATGCAACATATTTGAAGGCATCCTGTTTTGGATTATGAAAAGGATTTTATATTGTATTCAGTATTATTATTTCTACTTATGTCCAAAAGTTCAGTATTCAATAAAGCTATGGAACAACTCATGTTTGAAGCGCTTTGAATATTTATTTTCATGGCAAAAATAGACTATAATATAATTCATTTCACATATATTACATATCAAAGAAAAACAACCCTTTCTATCAAATATAATCTGCACATTGTTTTAAAAACCCATCTCAATTGTACATGATTTAAAGCTGCATCAATTATACATTTTTACACTTGATAGAGACAAAGCAGATCTTATGTGTAGAAAACACTTTAGCTTGACATTAAAAAATAATACTTCAATTTTGAGAGCCGCTAAGGAAGATACTGCAAAAATCCTTGTATACTGACGTAAAAAAGAAGGCGAGAAATTGTGTAAAAACCATTGTCTTTCCCTTGCATAGATTTAACTGCTTAAGGCTAGTGGGATGTTGCGGCATCTGTTTCAAGATACACCACCATGCAATATCAATTCTTTTGCCCCAAACTAACTTCAAGCTCTACATCTTCATACATTAGAAGAGCAGCATGGGAGCTGTTTTCTTGGACTTAAACTCAGGTCTCTTTAGTATGGTAGGACACAAATGAATTATGTTTATGATGTACTTCAGTTCCCCCCCCCCCCCAACAAGTGCTTTTCAATCCCTTGGAAGGACTCTACTGGCGTGGGAATGTGCAGCACTCTTCATTTAGATTTTTTTAAAACCTGCCTTTATTGTTTTTATAAATAAAACGGAACATACGTAACACTTCTTCCTCATATTTTCCCTATAATAACCCTGTGAGGTGGGCTGGGCTGAGAGTGAGTGACTGGGCCACAGTCACCCAGCCAAATTTCATACCTAAGGCAAAGCTAGAACTCAGTCTCCTGGTTTCTAACCTGTTATCTTAACCACTAGACCAAACTGGCTCTCATTTATCTTGCCCAAGTAGTTTCTTGGCAGAAACAAAGCACAGAACTGAATAATTCAAAATAAATTCCACGGTAGTAGCCTATGAATGCAAATTGTCTCACAGTAATTCAACAAATGAGGTCGGACATGTTTTGGGTCCATGATGAATACAAGAAAACAGCATCACAAAGAAAGTTTGACATTGTTGATGTTTTGTCTGTAAAAAAAAGTATGACCAGATTTGGTTATTTTTGTAGCTTTTATGAAGATTTAATAGGAACATATTTTAGCGAACCTAATTGCTCATTTTTATTCTGGAACCTGGAAGTTCATTTTAGATTGTTTTAAACGCTCTTCATATGTTTAAAGGTGGTTCCAATAAAATAAAATGGTACATAACCTCTCTCAATATATATTTAGGCATAATTTCTTGATCTGTGCTCAAAAAATGAAGACAAAATATAGTGGAATTTTAAAAAGACATGCATTATAATGCACTAACCACAACTATGTGGTTTGTTTCATCTATGTTAAAGCAAATGTTATTTTATTTAGCACCTTGGAACTTCTTTGAAGAAGAAGAAATCACAGTGGCACTTGCTTCATTGCATAACACAGAATCATGTCAACAGTGATTTTGGCCAAACAACATACTAGTTCATTTAGTAGTTTGTTCAAAACATAAAATGCAGTTTAAAGAAAATTATGCCCAAAGGATACATTCAGAATAGAGCAACAATTGAGTTGGAAAGAAGTTAATATCCCCAAAAGGCAAGAGAAAGGCAAAGAAACTGGTCCCTACAGTATTGTAGCAACAAGAGCCTCAACTCAGAGAGCATTCTTCTCTCTTTCCAGTCTTTTACATTGTTCAAAATATTTCCCCTCCTGCTCATAGTAATGTTAGAGTTTATCTGCAGTAATTTGACCCACAAATTCTATTTTGCAGATTAGGAAGGAAAAGAGTAGGCTTCACAAAGAAAGAAGTAATTCCCTATAGTTCTCTGGATTGTACCTACGTTGGACAGTACAATATTGTGCCACTGAGATTTTTTTCACTCTCTCCTTCACTGCACTGGAGTAGGTCCTCTAAGATGTTTGCTTGGAAGTGTCATAGCTTATAAATCTGATTTTGAGCTTAGCTTTAAGAACTACAAACCACATACAATCACAGACAGCAAGGCAACCATATAAATCATGTTGCTTGCAACAGTCTATCACTGTTCACATGGAAGTTAGCAAAATGCATATAATTTAGACGTTTGGAGGATGACTTCACTTTGCAGTTCATTTTGCTCCATAATGCATGCTAATTAAGGCCATTCAAGCGCAGAACAGAGAAATCATTTTATTCTTTCTTGCACCCCACCCCTACCAAGTGTATAACTGTTAGTTAGAAGACATCCCACAAGAGAAACAGACAAGAGCAGAATCCTTGAGCTCTCAGACCTGCTGCTGTTTCAACTCACTTCATAAATACTTCATCCATAATATTAAAATTCCACTTCTCCCTTTCTACCTTATGCTGCACAAGCCAGGCCCAAATAAATAGCAAACAGTTTCATTATGCAGAAAACTTATACTGAATATTTTTTCACAGAACGTCAGAGAACCAAAAGATAGAATTCAACCAAGCCTTACAAATTAAAATTTGAATTTTCAAAAACTATTTGGACACCTTTATAGACTTGGACTGCCATATTCCATTTCAAAAGTTAAAGTGAATGCTTTAGGAACATCATTTTGCAAATTATTGTACAATATGGTAGCTACCAACGCTTCCAAATTTATCTTCGGCCCTCCCTAATGCATGGCCCCCTCCTGCCATCAAAAGTTCATGCCGGATATCTAACTTTCTGAAAACCTCTTTTGAAGAAGATAGTGTTTTCAAAATTAAATGCTGGATCAAAGAAGATAAGAAAAAGCCAACATCTTAAATGGATCATTTTCAAAAACTGCTAATATCACCTGGAAAAAATTGCATGGAAAACTGGTTCATACACACAGCTCCCAAGTGGTGAAAAAACAAGGAACATCGAGACTGCACACTGGAAATTAGCATCCATTGGTACCAACCCATCTGATTTTTCTGTTTGTTCTTTTTGCCCTGAAGATCAATCAAATCTAAGCATCACAGAAACACCTTTTGACATCTCAGCCGGAGAATGTATAATGCAAGAACAGATATGACTAAAGTTTAAAAGAAATGTTTCTTAGAGTCTGCACCACAAACGGAGATCAGTTTGACTTCTGGCTTAACAAAATTCAATAATCTCAAAAAAACAAATAGTACAGCTTTAAAGAAATAGCTTACATGTTGTTCAAAGTATCATACTATGCTTAACTGTGTTGTACAACTGCCTGAAGCATTCATACATGCATCCATCCTTCCCTCCCTTCCATTCTCTTTGGCACACTATATACAGTCTAGTAGAAAATACATAACTTTTTGTGTTTTTCATATATACACTTTCTATCAGTCATTTCTGCTTTAAGAAGCATGCAGACTTTCTAATGTTAGCATAATGTTATTGGAGAGGCTGCTTTGGAGATGTTATCCAGAGGAAAAGAGAAATAAATTTGGTGACTCTAAAAAAACATTTATCCCTTTTCTTTTCTTTTTCTTTCTTGATAGGGAATTATTAGCAAAGGCAATTTTACCGCCACTTTGCTAAATTATGCAGACCAATAGCCACATTCCACTTTAAATCAAATTCTGTTGTATTCGCTCCACATTCAATACCTTCTCCTAAAATGAAATTTGCAGGATAAGCAGATAAACATATTGTTTCTCTAGATAAATAAAATATTTAAACAAGTGTTTAAATATTCATCTGTGTTCAACTTGATTTCAACCAGAAGTAACAAACTGTTCCTTAAATAAATCATTCTGGAGCTCCACTTCATTAATAATTACTTTCTGAAGTTTTGAGGAGCTACATAGGATTTCCTAGGATAACCTTTTTCTTTTACTGCACTTTTTTGACTTAGAATGTGACGTGACCCAACAATCATTTCCTCCTGGGGGATAACACAGCAGCAGCTGTAAATTTTGTCTTCATTTTTCCCTTTTCATTTTCTTTCTTTTCCCTTCAAAGATTTGCCAACTACTTGTTTAATATACCACAAACTTTACCAGCCATTACTATCTTCCATTTAACTCTTTTCTCCTTACAAATCTTAAACCAAATACTCAATTTCTTTTATTGCGTGCTGTCTGTAACCTGCAGTTTCTAGACAAGTGCCCTACGTCTGGCAAAAAAACAAAACAAAACAGCATAACACTCTCTGTCTTAAGTGCTTCCTTTAATGGCTTGTTGGTGATGCTGGTTGCAATATAAAAATCAACACACACACACACACACACACACACACACATTCACACACACGGATTGAAATTAAAAACTCAAGCACAATGATGCCATTTATGACTACTGAATAGGCAGGGCACACTTCTTTCACCACAGGCTACAAGTAGACATCAGTATAGCTTTCCATTCATAAAAATGTGACCACCACAATTTTCAGTACGGCGCAGTAATGCCTTCCTAGGATCAGCAGTTGTATGCCTACCGTGAATACAGTTTCACCGGAAGAACACAATGAATCATTCCCATTTCAAACCACTCCCCCCCTCACACACACATTCTTTTCTGCTTCAACGTGAACTCTGCCAAAGCAATGTCCAGTTGCATACAGAATTTTCAAACTTCATGTAGTCCTGGAAGGCAAACTTCTGCTTTTGTAAACTCTTGCAAAGAAGTAGACTTTTGAAGCTTGAGTGGAGAAAACCTATATAAGCCTCGAACTCTTAAGAAATTGGATGAGAACTCCGTAGACAAATGTGTATTGGCTTAGGGTTTGCACCATCATCATCCTTTGTTGCCTCAGCATTTCTAGCATTCTTGGGATATCCAGTGCCTAAAAAAACATACACACGAGTTGGAAAATTATTTAAGTGGTGATAATAAGCCACAATTGATGTAATGAACTATGAGAATAATCTGGGAAGAACAGGAGGAAGCGGAAGAGCCGCAACTTAGGCGATGATCAGACAAAAGACATCTCAGCCTACAGAAGGAATGAGAATGGAGGAAGCATCTCAGAAGGGCCCCTCCCTAGTTCTCGGAAAAGTAAAGGGAAGGGAGGGGAAAAGTGCTTTCAGACTTGCAAGATTCTGCTTCTGTGGCAATGTAATAAAGGCAGTGTTAGCACTTGTGGTTTTGGTTTTTTGTGTGGACTACCCTGAAGAACTGACAACTACATAGACACTTATATGACAAGTCTTTAAATATCAGAGAATGAAGAGAAGCAGGAAGGAAATGACATGATACTCTTTTTAGGAGCTGCTTGGACAAGGGTATTTAGGAATATCTTCCTGAGAAAACATGATAGTTCAGGTGTCAAATCCGATCACATCACTGGCCAGATTGTGACATATTGGGATGATTTTTGTCTTTGCGAATCCTGGGTGGGCAGGATCTAGGACTTTTCAGCTCCTACCCTTGGCCAAGCCTGCTTCTCCACCAGGATTTCACCTTCAGGAATTTGCTAGCTTTTCTCCTCTGCTGACATGCCTCTAGCTGTTCGCCCTGGCTAATGGGCTACAGCTGTTAGGCTTCAATGTGGCCCTTTCAATGCCACCCTGTTTGTCCTAGGCTTTTGGCCGCCTGGGTCAATTAGTGATCAGTTAGTTGTGAACAAGTACAGGGGAGCTTCCACTGCCTCCCTTCTCCTAAAAAGCGCCTGATGCACCACCTCCCCCCGCATTCATTTGCATGGTGGTTTCTGGCTGCCAGCATTGGCAACTAGCTGATTTGCTGGCAGCTAACTGACCTGGGCAGCCCAAAGACCAGGACAAACAGTGTGGCGTTGAATGGGACGCGCTGAAGCGGAGGGGCTGTATCGCATTGGCCAGGGCAAACAGCTAGGGGCATGTCAGTCAAGGTGAATTCCTGGAGGCGGAACCCTGGCAGAGAACCAGGCGCAGCCAAGAGTGGGAGCTGAAAAGTCCCATTCTGGGTGGGCATAGTCTGCACAAGCCGTAGCCAGCCTGGAGGACCCAGTTTAATAGGCCTGTGTTAGTTTTTGTGGATTTTGGTTTGAGTAGGTTTTTGATCACTAACTTTGTAATTGCCAATCTAACAAGGAGACAAGCACGTTACTGTTTGTCCCGTAGTTAACTTCAATCATGAAAGAAGGTTGGCATAGTGTGAGGATCATCACTCCATGAAATAATCTTTAATGGGCTTTCTCAATAAGTATCCCTTCAAGGGTATTCCCATTGACTCCCATAATACCTAATTTAAAAATTAAGGAATTACCTCATTGTGCTCCAAACAGGCAATCATGATCTCTGATAGGATGACCACTCCAGTTCTTCCTACACCAGCACTGCAGTGGACCAGTAGAGGGGGATTGGGAATTGCAGGGTCTGCGGTACTGTTGGTATGACGCCGTACTGACTGTATCTCTTCCAAGTATGCTGTTGGATCCAGAAGAAAAGAGGAAAGGGGAAAATATTTAAATTAGATAACACTGATATATTTTTTGGACTTTGTAGTAAGAAAAATGTACACCCGAATTCCAACAATGTATTGAACTATTCAACTTTTGCATTCAAAAATTAAAACTCAGCTTAGTAGTTGTATAAGAGAGCTTAAGAAAATATCAGGGCTGTAGATCTGGATAAGATGATCCAAAACATCCTGAAAAAAAGATACTTCAAATCACTTCTATATTACAACCAATAAAACTGCAAAAATGTATCCATCAAATCATTTAGCTTGACTTTGATTCAAGAGAGAATTTAGCAATGCTGCACACTAACACTCAGCTGGAATATATATCTACAGGTAATCCTCAAGTAATGACTGTGACTGAGCCCTTTGAATGACCTGTTGTAGGTCATACTGGTCGTTCAGCAGGTCATCACGTGATAGATCCTATTTGATGACATTTTTTGCGATAGTCATAAGAAAACACTACAATCATTAGGAGGTCCCATTTTCCCCAATGGGTTAGGTTTTTTTTGCCAGAAACTAGAAGCAAATGCAGGTTTCTAACAAAATAGTAATGACTAACAGTCACCTAATGCTGCAAATAGAAGTAAACGCAGACTGACTGCTGAACACACAAAATATGATCATGTGATCCAGGTTAAAAGTACCACCCAGATGTGTCTGCTACATCTTTGAGCTGTTGCTACGTGATCAGTTGTAAGACCACAACTACCTGTACAGCACAATGTGACATATAAATAAACATACATTCTGTTTAAATATTTTTCCTTCTAACTAGGAATTTAAATAACTTATAATTAACATTTTTCAATGAAATGTTGATATATTTCAGTAAATTTCAGCTTTGCTTGCTCTCTACAACCTTCCCTTCTGAGATGAGATGAATTTATTTGTGTCTCCTTAACAACAATTTCTCATATTTTCTTAGGTGGCAACTGTGATTAAAATCTAATGACCCGATTTTTTAAATGTGTAAATTACTGAAGTTCCAAACAGAACAAAACATCAGAAATGAAAAAAAAATATGCTCAGTTATCCTTAGGGCAATGTAGGAGGAAGAGACTTTAAGAGTAACATACAAAACACATAATGATTCTTTCATATTGCAGTAAACTCCATTTTAGCTCAGAGCCTAAACAATTATTGATGGTGTCCACATATTACATAAATTCCCTCCCCCCAAGCTCCCTCCCTCTCTCTCTCTCACACACACACAAACACAGACAGACATACACACAAAAAGAGGTTGAAATCTTGTAAGAATGTTAAATGTTACAAGATTTCAGTATTTTTACAATGTATTTCAGAGCTGATGCTGGGATAGGCTAACCTTACAATTGCACACAACAGCACTCAGATCAAAATGCACACAATGGAAGGTGTGCATTTAGACTTCATACATGGCCTGGGGAGCCATAGCTGTAAGGCAAAACCTAGCTATTCAAGGCTTTCTTTAGATATCCCCTATATCTCCAGCCTTACAGGCAGGCCTTTTAAAAATTTAAACTGGGGGTAACCTACAGATTATTTTGTTTTCCATGCAGGCAATTATCAGCCCCAGACCTATTTTGTTTCAGCAGGTTTCCTAAATCATATGCTTTCACAAAATAGAAGAAATAATAGAAAATGAACAATAAATAAATAAATAAAAACCTGCAAGCACATACACAGAAACCCTTTTGTGTCTTCTGGGCAGCCATGCTCTGGCCAGTCAGTATACTGAAGATGCCAAACTGTTCTCTCTTGTCCTGTGAGGAGGTGTTTGATTTTCAAACCTGTAGTGGCATAGCAACCAGAATCTGTTCGGAAGCGAGTGGTGATCTTGAATCTCCCATAGGTCACTGTGTTGTGCCTTGAACCAAGTCGTGGCCAGTATCGGAAACTTTTCTCTCGGCCACCTTCCTGCAAATACAATGTCTAATCAGCCAAAGAATAAAGAGGTCCGCTGCAGAATGTTCCACAAGGCTTATTTTTAATATATTATTAATGATTACTTTTGGCTAAGGAGTTTACTAATTCTTCACCCCTTCATCTTCAAGGTATCTTTTCAAATACCTTGTAATCCAAAGTGGGCTGAGAGTTGCACTGACCAACGAGATACAATGATCAGGAAACATCCAAATGTCTACTGTTGATTCCTAAATCGGTTGCATTCCAATTTGATGTCCTACAGATATATTGGAATGCGACTTACCATTTTTTCCAATAGAATAAAGGCAGGCTGACAATTCTACTAGTTACAGTCCTTAAACATTTAAAAGCACCAAACTGGGTAAAGTATGTTTTGGTTTGGAATGATTTTCCATATTAGTTCTCTACGTCATTTTCTGGAATCCAGTCAAGACAAAAATCAGCTTAAAACCAAAGGCTGACCCATACATTCATTTCAAAATTATATTTTTTAGGACTGAGGAATGATTCAGGAAGATAGATTACCTCTTCTGCTGTCACCATGGTTATAATGGCAACCCCTTGCTCCCATACCATCTGCCAGAAATCTTGGCATGTATTCTGCAAAGGACCTTGGGTTGCAATATAATCCCACTCCATGCCCCCAACACAGACCTGTAGAATAAAAAATAGGATATAGGACGCTAAGATTATGAAAGATACCTATCCACGATGCAAAGAAGAAGAAAAAACTAGCCATCTTCTTTATTTTATGTATTTAGTCCCAGAAACAGTTTTGTATAGCCTAAATGCAAAGAATGGAACTATCTTATTCTTTCCTTTAAACATGGTTGCGTCCAAGCAGAATGATAAAAATTTGCTTTCTGGGGCCATTTCTTCAGGTGAAGGGGTACAGGAAATGCTTTTTTTTCAGTGAATTTCAGAGTGAAGCTAAAACTAAGAAATCATTTTATGATTACATTCTTAATCTTATATAGTGCCAATGACAACTCCCCAATCTGTGCTTTCTCGCTATGTTGGACTGAAAATCTTGTATCTATATCAAGCAATTATATTAACATATATATTTTGAGTATGATATCAGATATTGGAAGAATGATATTTTAAGAAGTTTTTGAAATTTAAGTGGAAGAATTGTTATTTCTAACCCTACCTTAATATGTGATGCATTGATATAGCCCGTATTATTTTCCTTAGTAGGGACTAGCTCAACTCTGGTGTCATCATAAGGAAGCACATCCTGGAATCGGTTCCTTTCTGCATTTTCTGGGAGACAGGCTATTGAACAGACGCCTTCTACAAGCCTTTTCTTCTGAATCCGTTCATATTCTGTAAACACCATCCCTTGGTCTAACCGTTGTTCCAAACCTTTAAACTAAAAATACAGAAAAACAGATGGAATTATACTAGAGTTTTTTCCCTCTATAAATATATGGCAGTGTAAAATATGGGTTATTTTAAAAAAAACAATTAATATATAACTTCCAATTTTACATTATCTGAGTTTGTCTAAAACATTCTTGCTTTTCCCTTTATGCCAAGTTTATCAATGGTTTGTAACATATTTAAAATAGTTGTATGTTCCTTTTGATTGTTACAAATGCTAGCAAACGCACCAAAGCAAATTAAACAATTTAGATGCATGTACAAATAAAACCCAGCAGTAAATTTCCAAACAGCCAATATCTGAAATGAGATAAAGCCAAGGATAATTTGGAAAGCTGAATGTCATCATGGAACAGGCCCTGAAGTTTATTTAGGGCCACTGACTCTACTCTTAGACATACAGAACTAGGAACCAATATCAAAAGATTATAATACTGTAGTGGTTGCGATCTATCATTTCTTTTAATAACTGTTTGCTGTATGTAGGCTGTCTAGGACAGAATTCCCCAACCTTTTCTCCTTTGCAAACTGGGGGGTGGAGTGGGGTAGAGGATGGTCCTGTGTATGCAGTGGGCAAGTGTGCATGTATGCAGGTCCATTTGCATGAGCAGCAGACACACACACCCAACAAACAAATGGAGTGCACACACACTGATCGCTACTGCTTGCGCAATTGGAGATGCACATGCACACGGTTTCCCACCACTTCCAATGCCCAGTTCTGAAAGGCTCAAGTCCCAGTAATGGGCTGCGACCCCGGGGTTGAGGCCCCCTCTTACAGGAAACTAATATCATGGTAAGTAAATAGTTTTAAGCCACAATGAAGAAACTATACAAATTGTGCCTTGGTCATCTTTTCAGAGATATTTCTTTATCTAAACAGAGAAATAGAATGACAAAAGGACAGGCAAAAAAGCAGTGGGAGTAGGAGAAATGTCCAATTTCCTGGCTGAGTTTCCCCACTGAGTTTCTCTGTGGGAATCTGGCAGAGACTATCACAAATTTCCCCTGCCCTGCCCTGCCCTGCCCTGCCCTGCCCAGCCCCGCCCCGCCCCACCAGGAGATAAGTGGTTGCTGATGGGTCGGGGAGGGAGTGAAACTGGCTGAAACTCACACAACACTAAAAATGAAAGATCACATGACCACAATGGCAGTTTAGCAGCAGCAACAGTAAACCAGCCACAACTTTTCTAAATTTTATTCTTTTGAGAATCATGGGTTCTGGATTTTGGACACATTTTATACATTAACCCACTTGAGGCATGTTAATTCAAAAATTGTTGCCCTATGACACACAGTTTTGCAAGACAGTTTTAGTAGTACATAGATAACTAAACTTAAATAAATAAATCCAGCTTCAAAATATACATGTACCCTAAGCAGTTAAAAGAAACTGATGAATGACAAGCTAATGACCAATCATAATACTGTTCTTGTATCCAAGATTTGGATAGCCAAATTTGAATAACAAAACACTAGAGTTGAATTTTCAACACACATCCACAATCCTAAGCAAACATCAGACCAACCCGTTCATCATTTGTTGCTCTGGGAGATTCTTCCTTCCCCTCACTTGGCAGAGGAAGACGAGATAATGTTAGTCCATTTAGAGCTGCTAACTTCAAAGGTCCTATTTTTTTGGCTTCAGCTCTGTTCTTTTTCATGACCTGCTGGAAGAAGACAATCTTTCAAAATATATTGTGATAGAAACCAGAGGCAAACTGGATCGCTGGAGGAGCAACAAAATTGGTACACAACTAGAGAAATACTTTCCTTTTCCCCACACACACTAAGAAAGGGCCTCTGGTCCAAACAATTCTACAGATAATGATAGCCAGGAACATTCTTTCCATGTTGCCTGTCTTTATTTCATCGTTAAGTTTTTGAAATTTCACAGAATTAATAAACAGACTTGCCCAAGAAAATGGACTTTCATGAACACTGAGGGTAACAATTGAGAATTGGGGCAGGGCAGCTACAGCTTCAGGGAGATCAGTTTATTCAGTAAGAATGGTTAAAATCTTGCTTTTTATTCTCCCATGGAACTCAAAGAGAAGGAGATATAAACCCTTTCCTATATAAATAAGGAAATAACCCTGTATGTTAGATGAGGCTTAAAGTGCAGTGGTCCAAGCTTTGAAGCTAAAGAAGAATATGAACACTTCCCCATTCAAGCCTGATACTCTAGGGCTCTCTGTTTGTGTAGACATATAATTTCTCTTCATAAATTAATGAATCATTATATTATCTGTATGTATGTATGTATGTATGTATGTATGTATGTATGTATGTATGTATGT